TTTTTTTTTTTATTTTGACGGCAAACTTACTTGATGATAATAACGAAAGTGTCGATACAGAATCACGAGCTGCAGCTATAATGAACTCAGTGGGAAAAAGCTCTACCCAAAAGCATGCAGACTGACCAACAGCCAACTGTGCAACTGCTGCTTCGAGATGAGGCAACACTGCTTCATTGCCGATCTCAAACTCAAACTCTTCACAGCTTTCGAGATGTTCTCTCGTGCAGTCTCCTTCGACAGACAACGAAACACTGTAACTTATGCAAGCCAAAGCACCATTCGATGGAGTAACTCCAGAGTTTTCACCTCCGATTTCGATAAAAGATGGCTCAGCTAACTCTGCTTTATAATCGCAAGCTTGAATTCCAAAATTATGTATTTTACGGCATAATGCAAACTCCTCAAAAAAGAAATCGGGAGTAAAGCTAATATCGAGCTTATCAGCAAATAACTTCAGCTTCTCCAAGGATATGTTTGGATATTCGAAAAACATGTCAAGCCAGTTCAGGACTTTCAAGCTAGTGCTTTGCATGGCATCAACCGGCTTTTTATGAGATTCGTTCGGCGAGCATTGTAAGATCAAGTTTTGATTTTTGGAATATATTTTGATTTCACAACTAAAAGCTCCAGTCGATTCCACCGAGTCCCCAGTACCTGAATGACTAACTTTCAACTTTTTACATGATCCAGGTAAATCCAGTGATGAATTTAATGTGTTTTGACTGGAAAACACAGGCTCAGGCAAATGGTGAGCTCGGCAGAATGCAAAAAGTATGTCCCTCGGGAAAGAACCCCTCCAATTGCTTTTTGTCGTGTATGTTAATGGTAGCTTAGCAGCAAGTATTGCGTCTCGTGATATTTGGTATATCCCACTGGGTATCTTGTTAATAAGCATCCTTCAAAATTCAATTGAAAAAATAAAAATAATAATAATAAACTAAGTTACTAATTTTGAGAATATTTTCAAGGTAACAGATTGAGATTAGAAAAGGCTGGATCCAATAACGAATAAAACATGCATGCGTTTTTTTTTTTTTTTTTTTTTTTTTTTTTTCTGGGAATTGAATGAGGATAAATAACAACTGCTAAAGAGTACTAAGAATGTTAACCTATAATACGAACGCAAGGACACAGCTTCATGGAAAAGATCATTAGACCTCCAAGTGTACCCTACAGAAGCCAAAATTGCATCAGCGTACACTTCTTCACCGGCGAAGTAAGTTGCCCGGACATTTAGAGATCCTTTAGGCTCTGCCAGCTCATCAGGGGGAAGCTGCGGGGGAGAAGAAGAATATATTCTCACTTCCGAGGAAGCCTTGCCAATCACTCTACAAAAAGACCAATTCATTAGTATATATAAGAAAGGATAATATTATTAGGTGCGTAAGTTTGCTAAACAAAAGGAATCGTCCTCCAATTTTGAAACACGAATCACAGATAAAATAGAAAGATAATATTAATTAATGTATGTATAAAATTATATATATTATGGTTAAATTTAGTGCTTGCTAATACATAGTAGATTGTAAATTTAAGAATCAGGCCAGTGTGTGAAAAAAAATCCATGTAGAAAGTGAAAAAGGTTTCCATTCTGGTAACCTGTACACTCTGTTCTTGAAAATTATAAATAGAACATCTTATTCCAATATGTAACTATAAAATGCTGAAATAAGCTTTTGGATTGAAATTAATCGGGGTCCAGACAGAGTTTGGAAATTAACATTAAAAAATAAAACGTGTAAACACAACTTCTTACCTAGAAATCAAAACATTCGAAGCATCTGCCACACATAGCTCACGAGCAATAACATCTAAATAATAACCAGTTGAAGCAATATTAAGCATCAAAACATGAACAGCTTCTCCAAGTGAAGCTGGAATTCGTATGCATTCAACTGCAATGCTTTCCGACAAGCTCGACTCGTGGTTCAGTGAAGCAATGATCTCAGGAGGGTATGAAGTTTTCCTCTTTAGTGAAAGTTTCTCGTCGGATATCAATACTAAATCAGTCATTTTAGCAGCTGCCTTCAGAATCAGTGAATTAACCTCAGCAGCAGGAGTTATGTACTTGCATATGTTACTAATCTTTGCATCATGAGTTGCAATAACTGAAACTGGAAGACATCCATTTTGATGGCCCTCTCTTCTTAGTACTGCTCTTAAGTGACTGCTGAGTGGATTGAGAGACGAAAGGAACTTCCTTGTTTTTAAAGAAAAAGAGAGAGGGGCAAATAGAAGAAAAAAAAGATCATTTCAAAATAAATTTCATTCATCACAAAAAATAAAAATAAAAAATAGAACCAAATTTTAAAACCATGATTAAGTATGAATAGCAGTTAGCAACACACTTTCACAGATTTAGAAGCTAAAAGTGTACACATACCTCATTGGCAAACATAAAAGCTATACGACCTCCCAAATCATCCCACGCTTCTTGTACTGTGGGATTGTATTCGGCCAGACGGATACCCAGCTGCAGCACAAGAATTTGAATTGTTAGTCAACATTAATTATTTTATAACAGAAAAATTCTTCCCACAATAAATTAAAAAAAAAAAAAAAAAAGAAGTGGGACTACAATAAAATTTAAAAGACGCATGTAAATCAAATTTACTTGAAATACGGAACAACAAAAAAAAAAATCTGTATCCAGGAGTACAAAATCCTTTAAAACACATATAACACACAATTCTTCAAAAATAACAACTACAAAAACTCCATATGCAGAGAAGAAAATATCGCAAAACAAAACCGTTTCTATGGCCTTCTCGGCAGCCGATTGTTCAGCATCTTTTTTTCTTTTAAAGGTGTCAGAGACAACAGTAGCATCTGGGAGATGAAGAGTGCATCGATAAAGACATGGTCCCTTCCGAGAGATAGCTAAGCCTGGGCATCCATTTCCACTTGAATCTTGCACTTCATCGATCTTATAGCAGGCCTTGTCACCAAACTTTTGGTTTATAATTGCTTTTGGTGTCAATGGTGCCTTCTTTGTTGGGTTTTCTGGGGATTTTCCAGTTCCAGCCATCTTTCCACAGCAGAGGATAATGTGATAAAACGAGCCTAAATCTTGTTTGACATGTATTTTCAAGAATGCGCGCTCAATACATCAAGCCTTTTGGCATTAAATAAACACCTGGGAACACCAAGTCTACATCAGGATTAAGCAAAAGACAAAACATTCGGCAAAACAACAATTAGAGCCAAATTTATGCAACTCATCCACTATAGGGGCAGCCAAATTTCAGATTTATTAAAGAATCTTCCATGAGCAGCGGTTGGAGCTGAATTCGTGATGTGGGTGGGGAAGATAAAATGAAACAGACAAATGTATAATTAACGTACTCTAGCTCAACGGACTCGAGAATAACTAGTGGACTGATGCATTCATTTTCATTCTCCTTTTCTTCTCTTTGTTTGTTTCTGTTTACTTTTCTTTTTCATTATTTTCCATTTTCCCTACATATGTGAAGCAAGCAATATACTGAAAAAACAAAAAGCAATAAGTCATCCACCATGCCACCTTGATTGGAGACCACTATTGCACTAAACATTGCACAGATAATTCCAATAAGCATTCAACCGATTAAAAGACTTCTACGCGAAAAACCGAAACAAATTCGAATATATATACACACACAAAGTTAGACTGGTATCTGATCAGGGTAAAGTAGGAACAAAAGAATATAGAATCTTGATTATCTTGCCGGATGCCAAGAAAAA